CTCAATATTATTTTTTGTGTTGCTATAAAATTAGACTGCAGGTAGTTTCTACCACTTCCTTGTATCCTCCTTGTAAGATTCTGGCAATCTTTCTTCTTCCCATGAGCCTCCTCCACTCTGTGATCTGAGACACCGAGGCTGGTGATGACCTTTGCCCCGTCATAGTGCCAGAAATGTTCCTGACTGCCTCATTGTCTCCCGGCATTTCTACTCAGGCCATGGTATATGTACCTGTGTGTACATAGGGGGTGTGCATGTGTAAAATACAGCTCAGTTGTGAAAAACATACAAACATGTATGCACTGTTATTATTAATTATATACATATATACTTACAAGTATGAATATATATGAAGATGAATATATATTCATATTTATAGTTGTTAAGTTGATTGACTGCTATAGGAACTGAATCTAGAACATGTCTGTTCTCCAGGTCTCTACTTGACTGGATTCATTGGAACTGGACCAGCAAAAAATCAATCTGCTGTGTTTCTCATACATGACAATCTTTTCTTCTCTTTGAATCTGGATCTTGCTCTGCCACCCAGGCAGGACTGCAGTGGCACGATCATAGCTCATTGCAGCCTTGAACTCCTGGGCTCAAGTGATCCTCCCACCTCAGCCTCCTGGGTAGCTACAGGTTACAGGTGTGCACCACTACACCTGGCTAATTTTTACATTTTCTTTGTAGAGATGAGGTCTCGCTATGTTGCCCAGGCTGGTCTCAAACTCTTGGCTTCAAGCTATCCTCCCACCTTGGCCTCCCAAAATGCTGGGATTCCAGGTGTGAGGTGGCACCCAGTTCCCTCTCCAGTTTTTGTTTGTTTGTTTGTTTGTTTGTTTAACATCCTCTGACTTCTCCACATACCTATTTGGACTTGTCGGGTAGTTGCAGGTGTTGGGTTTTCTTCCCCTTTTTCTCTCCAGAGGAAAAAAGATATAATTTAGCTCAAATCTTTTTTTTTCCCCCCTCAAAATGTTCTGAGAGTGAAAGTAATAAAATATCTAACGAGCCTATTTGAATGAAGACGAGGTAAAATTTGCATGATAAAGATATATTTCCATTTATAAAGTTCATCAGCAGAAATTAATGACAAATAAAGGGGAAGATCCAATTAAAGTTCCCCATCCATTAACAATCTTGCTTCACTCTCAGGGCAGGAATTTTAAAAAGAGAGGCTCAAGTTGGAAATGATTTCAATATTAAGGTTGGTGGCATTAAAAGGGACATGAAATGATCATATTAGAATTCAAGGAAAAGAGATTCTCCTGTGATTTTTGCCGTCAGAGTCAGATGCATTTCCCCTCAATCCTAGTTCCACTGGCTTTTTCTTGTTCGCCCAAATGAGCTGTCAAGAGCTGATGGGCACCACCGTAATCAAAGAACACAAGTTTGCCCTTTAAAGCAAAAGAGGTAATTTGGCTGAAAGCAAATTGGAAACATTTCATAGAACGTTGCATTCAGGCATTTTGATTTATGCCTGAGAGCTTTAGGGGACAATGGGGGGAAGTGCGTTCATTAGCCACTTTGTTCACATTCATTGTGTGGCCATGGGGCAAAGATCCTTCATCCTCTGAGAGGCCGAGGAAGCTTCGTGGCTGTCCCTAAAACTTTATTTTCGGGAAAAGCCTCTAAGGATCTCAGGAAATGGACTGGGGAGCAGGAAGTGGGTGTGAATCAAAGTGATCTAGGATAATGCCCTTCTCAGCCTTGCTCCTCAGCTCCCAAAGAGGCTTCTGATTTTGGATCCATTCTGCCCAGCCAAGAAACAAAGCGTCCTCGGCACCTGATCTGGCCGCCTTGTTCTTAGTTGCTTTAGGTGTTCCTTTGATTCCCTCCCCTCTGTCTGTTTACTCTTTGGTTTGCTGAACTAAAGGTATCTTTTGTGGCTTCAACTATCACTTCCTTCCACCTTACTTTTGTATCTCCATCCCCAAGGTCTCTCTGGAGGCCCTCTGATCTTGTCTGTTGCCTATGATATTTTATCACCTAGGGTACTTTGATTGCAAGCAACAGAAACTGACCCTGGCTAAGCAAAATGGTGACAAACCAGGCATCAGAAAGAGCAACAGCTAAGGAAGTTCTGGGGATCTTAGTAGCAGCATCTTTAGGAACCCACCTGGAGCATAAATCAGCTCCCACCATTCCCCAACCATGTGTCCCTCTCTTCTGGATTCACACTCCCAGGAGAGAGAGGGCAGGGCTCTGATTGACAGTCCCACCAAGACCGCACATCCTGGAAGGAAAACTGACAAAGAAAAATTGGATCATGGGAAAGCTGAGACATCACTGTCCACTGCACACTCCAGTCTGGCAGCTGGAACTCAATGAGTTGAAAACTGAGCTCTTTGTCCTCCCTCCAAACTTCCTTGCCTAGTTTCCCTAGTTTCTTACAGACCCCACCATCCTCTCCCAGTCACCCAAACTCAAAACTGTCTCATGCATCAAGTCCTAACGCTCCTTTCTTCAAACATTTCCCACATCCACACACAAGAATATGAAAATAAAAACGGGACGGGTAATCTTTAAGAGGTGACAGCAGGGCCAGGCGCGGTGGCTCACGCCTGTAATCCTAGCACTCTGGGAGGCCAAGGCAGGAGGATTGCTCAAGGTCAGAAGATAGAGACCAGCCTGAGCAAGAGTGAGACCCCATCTCTACTTAAAATAGAAAGAAATTAATTGGCCAACTAAAAACATATAGAAAAAATTAGCCAGGCATGGTGGTGCATGCCTGTAGTCCCAGCTACCTGGGAGGCTGAGGCAGGAGGATTGCTTGAGCCCAGGAGTTTGAGGTTGCTGTGAGCGAGGTTGATGCCACGGCACTCTAGCCCCAGCAACAAAGTGAGACTCTGTCTCAAAAAAAAAAGAGGTGACAGCCAATCTTTTCCCAAGATGATGGTCAGTTTCTTTCTTTCTTTTTTTTTTTTTTCCAGGACTGGGTATACAGTAGTGATCAAAATAAATAAAGCCCCTACTTTCATCGGAGCTCGCTTCTTGGGAGAGAAAGACAGACAACAAACAAGTCCATATAGATATGTCAGATGGTGACACTTAACCTGGGGAATAAGTAAACAGCATAAGGGGAAGGGAGGAAGAAGGAAGAGGGGAGAGGTAGAGACAGTGTGTTGGGGGCCTAGCCATTGGAAATCACAAGTCCCAGAATTGGGATTTCAGTTTCCGTGGCCTAATACTATTAGTTATTTATTGAACACTTACAGTGCCCAGGCCCTATGCTAGAAGCTTCCCTTCAATCCTGAAGATTCCTGCTTTACAGCGGAGGAAGCCAGGCTTGGAGGGGTTGGGGGGTGTCCTCCAGCAAGGATTTTAATCCAAGTGGGGCTGTGCAAATCAGTACTCTTAGCCATAGTGCTATGGCGGCAATGTAAATGATGGATTTCTGATTGCCACTGTAGATTTTTCTGAATCAGTCTTTCATTCTTTATTTTTTCCTTTTCTCCAGCCCAGACTCTGATCTGACTCAAACAGTCTTTTACATAAGCCTTTTATTTTGTAATAATTGTAGATTTACAGAAAAGTTACAAAGATAATAGGGAGTTCCCATATGCCCTTCATTCAGCTCCCCCTAATGTTCATATCATATATAACATTGATGTTTGAAAAACAAGAAATTGAAGGTGGTACAATGCTATTAATTAAACTTTAGACTTGGCTGGGTACAGTGGGTCATGCCTGTAATCCTAGCACTCTGTGAAGCTGAAGCAGGAGGATCGCTTGAGGTCAGGAGTTCAAGACCAGCCTGAGCAAGAGTGAGACCCCGTCTCTACTCTAGCCTGGGTGACAGAGTTAGTCTGTCTCAAAAAATAAAAAAAATGTAGATGTTATCTGGATTTCTCTGGGTTGTTCCAATCATTTTTTTTTTCACATATTTCTGAGCATCTAGAAATGTCCTTTTTTCATTCCAGGATCCAATCCAGCATACAACATTGCATTTAGTTATACAGTTATTTATTTATTTTTTGACCACTGTAGCCAAGTAGAAGACAGTTTATTAAATTGTATTTCAAAGTCATTGTTTACTCCTCACCCCAACCTCCAATTTTTAAAATCAATACTTAACTTTGGGAGGATTACTTGAGGCCAGGAGTTCGAGATCAGCCTGGGCAACATAACAAGATTCTATCTTACAGAAAATGAAAAATTAGCCAGGTGTGGTAGTCCCAGTTGCTTGGGAGGCTGAGGTGGGAGGATCGCTTGAACCCAGGAGTTGGAGGCTGCAGTGAGCTATGATTGTGCTACCACGCTCCAGCCTGGGTGACAGAGCAAGATCCTATCTCTAACAACAAAATAAAATAAATACTTAAAAACGAGTGAAAACATGCTGGGCCTAGTCTTGTTTGCTTTTAGCTCCATTGCTTGTTCTGTCCCTGTCCTGCTCTGGGTCTCAGGCTGCTGGTCCGTGAGCAATGCCAGCTCACTTGTCAGTTGGTTTCCTGCCGGTTTTGGCCAATGAGAGGCACAGGTGTGGGACTGGCTGGTGACAGGAAGGGAGAAACCAGGTATGCCTCTACCCGCACCCCTCCTCCCTGCCCTCTGCTTTGTGCTGCATGTCCGGCAATGGCTCTAGCAGGATCTAATGACTGTGGTTCCAGCTTGCCCTGGGTGACCTCTTCATTACATGGTGGCTGCATGCCATTGACAACTGCTGGATGGCTTTACCTTCCTCTGGTTGGCCCCTCAACTATTCTATCACTGGTATAACCAGTGCCCTATATTTAAATCCTTAGAACAGCACCTGTTTCCTTGGTCGCTCCCTGCCTGACACATGTGTCCGAGAATCACCTCCACACGTGATCCTCCTACCCTGGTGGCCCTAACACCCTCACAACCCTAAAAATTGTTTTCAGTTAAAGGTTCTTCATGAAAGTGGCAGAGCACCTAAGGTGAACTCTCAGTGTCAACTGTTGTTGCTGCTGTGGTCACCCTAACCACACATGCATCACCACAGCTCCACTAACCCCCACTCCTTCCTTTTTCAGGGTTGTCAGAGACAATAAAAACACGGTACCCAGATAGTGTATCCAAGTCTCAACCTCCAAGGGCATACAGAGGCAAAGAAGGCTGCCCACAAAATGGCTTTAGACATTCTAGCCCTGGCCCCTTTATACCAAAGCCCCGCCATGAACAAAATAGGAGGAAAGACAGACGCATCTAAAAATCCAGCCGACCTGCTAAAGCCCTTGGTCCCCTCTAAGACCAAACTCACCACCATTGAGGCCAAGAGAATCATGTCCGTCCTGGAGGAGGCCATCCACAAGGTGGAGCTGGTGACGGCGCTGTCGTACATGGCCTCCAACCCTGAGGAGATGGAGAAGGTGCTGGGGGTGGACATCCTGAGAGCAGTGAGAGAGCATGAGGACCTTTGCCAGACCTGCCTGGAAAGTGCCAGGTACCTGGAGGAGAGAGAAAGGCAGTTGCAGGATGAGGAAGAGATCGAGGAGGAAGCGTGGCTCAGGGACCTTGAGCTCTCCATGGAGGTGCAGAAATCCAGCCTCCTGATGCTTATGCAGCGGATCAAAGACTCCACCAAGAACGTCATGAGACTCTTGCTCAGCAACCCCCAGGCTCTCGGGCTCCTGCAGACGCAGACACTGGGAAGAAGGGAAGAAGCCCAGAAGTTTATTGACAGCCTGAGAGAGCTCCAGGGTTTCCTCTTCGAGAAGCTACTCACTAGCCCCATGGAAGCTAGGGATAAGGCCCAGTTCATTCAGGAAATCAATAAACGAAATCGGAGGAACCAAGAAGTCATTGATGCTCTTGAAAATGAATTGGCAGCAAGAACAAAGAACAGGGATGCAGAGGTATTGCTACATGATATCGGTCAAGTTATGGAAAGGGCCACACCGAGTAGCCCAAATCTTTTTGTGGTTGGGTTTTTCCTCAATGATTTAAATAGCTTTTAAAAATTCATTTACTCCACAAAGATTGTTTTGAGCACTTATTCGGTGTCAAGTCTTGTAAATAAGCCCACGTGGTCTCAGCCTCTTGGAGTTCACAGTAGGGAAGGTAGGTATTAAGGAACTCATTTCATTACAGTTTTGAAAAGTACAATAAAGGGTAAGTACAGGGTGCTATAAGGGAGTGTTAGGAGAACAGAACTTAGACCAAAAGGATCAGGGACACTGAAGCCAAGACATGAAGAGTATGGGGGGAGTAAGCCAGGCAAGGAAAGTGAGGAAGAACTTTCTAAGTCAGGGGCCGGAAAACTTTTTCTACAAAGGGCCAGATAGCAAATACATTACACTTTGTGGGCCAGATGGACTCTGTTGCAACTACTCCGCTCAACTCTGCCATTACAGTGTGAAAGCAGCCATCAATAGTATGTAAATGGGCTATATTCCAATAAAATTTTATTTACAAACACAGGGGCTCGCTGGATTTGGCCTGTGGGCCTTGGTTTGCTAAACCCTGTTCCAGGTGGAGGGGAGTGCGTACCTAGGTCTTTTTTTTTTTTTTTTTTTTTTTGAGACAGTCTCACTTTGTTGCCCAGGCTAGAGTGAGTGCCGTGGCATCATCCAAGCTCGCAGCAACCTCAAACTCCTGGGCTCAAGCAATCCTACTGCCTCAGCCTCCCGAGTGGCTGGGACTACAGGCATGCGCCACCATGCCCGGCTAATTTTTTTATATATACATTTTTAGTTGGCCAATTAATGTCTTTATATTTTTTAGTAGAGACAGGGGTCTCGCTCTTGCTCAGGCTGGTCTTGAACTCCTAATCTTGAGCAATCCGTCTGCCTTCGTCTCCCAGAGTGCTAGGATTATAAGCGTGAGCCACCAGGCCCAGCTTGTACTTAGGTCTTGAGATGGGAATAAACCTGGCTGGTTCAGAAACCCAAAGAATGGGCCAAATGCTATGGCTCACGCCTGTAATCCCTGGATTCTGGGAGGCTGAGGCGGGAGGATCACTTGAGCCCAGGAGTTTGAGACAGCCTGAGCAAGAGTGAGACCCTGTCTCTACTAAAAATAGAAGAAATTAGCCAGGCGAAGACCCAGCTACTCAGGAGGCTGAGGCAGGAGGATTGCTACCCTTTAAGGACACACTTGGAAGTAGCACACAGTGCTTCCACGCACATCTTTTAGCCACACTCAGTGACTGGAGTTGCTAGGGAAGGTAGTCTGTCATTGGGGCCATGTTCCCAGCCAAACATTCTACTCCATGGCACCTCTGGACAGAGCAGGTATGGGACAGCCAGCCAGTGCTGCTGGATAAAAACTCCCATTTTTATCCCCCACGATGATGGGAGAGTCAAGGCCCTACGAGGCTATCTGCTGCCTTCTCTCCCCCATGCACTCAGTCGGGCAGTTCTCACTGAATTTGTTTTTCAAGGCATTCATCAGACTTCATTGATAAATGTGTGTAATTTGTGATATCTCGTGGGGGGTCTGGCTCCCTGCAAGAAATTAGGGACCTTGTCTCTTTTGGCCTGGCATTGCGTTCCCCAGTGAGCCTGGCCCCAGAGAGGGGCATGACGCACCCTTGCTGAGTGGATAGGTGACAGGCTGCTGGGTGCTCGGGCAGGGAGGGCACCATTAGGGGACAGCTAGATGGCCTCAAGGGGCATTGCTGATCCCTTTTGGGTGGTGGAACCAGGCTGGGGCTTTCAAATGGGACTGATCCGGGGTCAAGTTCCATTTTTTCCCAGGTGGGCAAATTTCATCATGTCATTGAACGTCGGTGTAAAATGACAGGGAGACGCCAATCAACCATGATGTGGCGATCCTACAAGAGAAGCTCCGACTGCCCGTAATACTGTCTGATCTAAAACCTAGTGCCTAGGGCAGGAAGCCTTGTCTTTGGGGATAGTTTCACCCCAAAGGCATCCCTCCATCCCTGCTTGCTGTGTGCGGGAAGTGAATTCAGATCCCCTGTGGCCCTTCCGCTAACTAAACCCAGCTGACCCCAGCTCAGGGCCAGTGGCATGAGCAGCCACAGCCCTATTGTGTTCAGATGGAGACCCTAATGTTTGTGAGAGGCCTTTGGAGCTTATCTATAAAACAGTCCCATCGTGCACCCCTGCTCCTGCTCTAGAACTGACCCAGAGCAGGGGACAAGCCGGGGACAGGCCTCAAGGGAGAACACAGTGGCAATCCCAGCAGTGTGTGTTTATCTCACACCTTTGTGCATAGTGCCATGTGTCTCTGCCAGCGGGGCCATCCCCTGCTGAGCCCCAGTAGGAATATCGCTGTCCCAGACCTGCCTGGTGGCCCCACTCTGGCAGGCTTATGCCCCTCACTCATGCAAGGAAATGAAGGCAGTGGCCAAGAACATGTGCTCTGAACCAGACAGACCTGGCTTCAAATCTTGCTTCAGCTCTGCCGCCCCAGGCTGACGACTCCACCTCCTTTAGCCTCATTTTCCTCGTCTGCAATCAGGCTGTCCCTGTCTCCTGTCGTGGGGTTGGGGGTAGGATTCAGCAAGGTAATGATGCAAGTGGCATGCCCGGCCCTAGGGGAGGACGCAGGAGTGGCCACTGCTCCTGGGATTGTCGTGCAGGTGTGAACGGAGCCCTTTCTCTTCCTGGGCCAGGTGGAGAAGGACAATATCACGATCCAAGAACTGAAAAGCCACCTGCATCAGGTGCTCAAGTTCTCGGAGAGCAGCCTCCTCCGAACCAAGCACGAGGCCGAGAAGCAGCAGAAGGCAGACTTCAAGGCCTCGCAGGCCAGGGTGGCCAAGATCCAACAGGAGATCCTGATGCTGCGGTCACAGTTCCACAACCTGGTCATGGACAACCGGGAGGCAGAGCAGGCGCTGAGGAAGGTGCCCTGGGAAGCGTGGAGGATGGGACAGTGGGCCCCTGGGGCAGGCAAGGTGGCGGGGCTGTCCTATCACTCCTGGAGGTCCTGCGGTGTTGGGCGGGGCAGGGAGCAGAAGCCCAAACCCAGGCCAGTGTCCCCTGAGAGGCAGGAGGGGGCAGCACACAGGCCTGGGAACTAGGGCACAGAGAGACTGGGTCCCTGCCCCAGCAGGGCTGCATGCCAGCTTTGCGACCTTGCGCAAGTTCCTCAACTCCGCTGACCCGCAGGGGTATAACACCGGCCTTGTCAGATGCCATGCCAGATGCTGTGCAAAGAGAGCACTAGCACGTGGCTCAGGCGAATTGCTCTGCTCCCTCTGAGCCTCTGTTTTCACATCTAGAAAATGAAAATGATAAAATCGGCCTTAATGAGTTGTTATGAGAGTTACCTGAGATGACAGGTGGAGAGCTGGTGCATAGTAGGTGCTCTATAAATATCTAAACATCCTTTCTTCATCATCTCAGCCAAGACCCCAGCCCAGCTTGCACCCAGCTTCCAAATCTCTGTCCTCACAAAGGGGACCCTTGTTCATACTTGTCCCCAGTCTCTTTTAGTGTCACGACTCTTGAGCATCTGACGAAAGCCATGGCCCCTCCCCCAGAAAAAAAGGTGCAGGCGACACATCCACCCTGGTGGATAATTCTTGGGGGGCCACAGGCCCCTTGAAGCCAGCCCACCCAGGGTGCCCAAGTTAAGAACTCCTGGTCTGTAGGATTAGGAGTTGATTTATTTATTTTTAATTAAGGTGACATTTACATAATATAAAATTAACCATTTTAAAGTGAACAAATCAGTGGCATTTAGTACATTCACAGTGTTGTGCAGCCACTGCTTCTATCTCGTTCCAAATCATTACCACCTCAAAATGAAACTCTGTCCCCATCAAGAAGGCATTCCCCATTCCCTTCGTCCTCCAGCCCCCAGCAATTGCTGATCTGCTTTCTGTGTCTACGGATTTACCTACTCCAGACGCTTCGTGTAAGTGGGATCATACAGTATGTGGCCTTTCGTGTCTGACTTCTTTCGCTCAGCACCATGTTTTCAAGGTTCACCCACGTGATAGCACGTATCAGTGCTTCATTCCTTTTTATGGCTGAATAAAACTCCATTGTACGTATGGGAGGTGATTTTTATTTTTATTTATTTGTTTTTTTTAGACAGAGTCTCACTCTGTTGCCCGGGCTAGAGTGCCGTGGCGTCAGCCTAGCTCACAGCAACCTCAAACTCCTGGGCTCAAGCAATCCTCCCGCCTTAGCCTCCCGAGTAGCTGGGACTACAGGCATGTGCCACCGTGCCTGGCTAATTTTTTTATATATTTTTAGTTGGCCAATTAATTTCTTTCTATCTATAGTAGAGATGGGGTCTTGCTCTTGCTCAGGCTGGTTTCAAACTCCTGACCTTGAGTGATCCTCCTGCCTCGGCCATGGGAGCTGATTTTTTAAAACTTTTTTGAGAGAGGCTCTCATTCAGTCGCTCATGCTGGAGTGCAGTGATGTGATCACAGCATGCTGTAGCCTCGAACTTGTGGGCTCAAGTGATCCTCCCTCCTCAGCCTCCCAAGTAGCTAGGACTACAGGCTTGTGCCTCCACACCCAGCTAATTTATTATTATTATTATATTTTTTTCTGGAGACTGAATCTAACTATCTTGCTCAGGCTGGTCTTGAATTCCTGGGCTCAAGGGATCCTCCTGCCTCAGACTTCCTAAGTGCTGGGATTACAGGTGTGAGCCATCGCACCTGGCTGGAGCTGATCTTTTAAAAACTAAATTAGATCACGTCCCCCCACTGCACCCCTCTCCCTCTCCCTTGCATGAGAATGCAAAGGCTTCCCCTGCTGGCACTCCCTGTGTGACACAGACTCCCACTCTGACTTTGTCGGGGACCACTCCTCCTGGCCACTCTGTCCCAGCCACGCTGGCTCAATTTCTGCCCTTCAAACACAAGCTTGCTCCTTCCTCGGGGCTTTTGCACCTGCTGCTCGCACTGCCTGGAATGTACTGGAGCACCCATTAGCTCTGTCATCATGGGCAAGTGAGTTAGCATGTCTGAGCCTCAGTTTCCCCATCTGTGGAATGGGAGAAAGAGCCTCCTTGTGTGAATACAATCGTGAGGGCCGGCTGCCGTAGACTGCTCAGTGCTGTTTAGTGTTCATATCATCCCATCCAACAATGCCTCATTGGATCTTTTTAGAAGAAATACAAAGTGGAGACAGAAGTCGAGAACTGGATCCAGAAATATGATACGGACATGGGTGAAAAGCAGGTACGTGTCACCGGATCAGTCTTTCTCGGGTGCTTTTCCACGATCCTGGAGGAAGGGGAGTAGAAGCCCAAGCACGGTCCACAGATCTGGCCGAGTTCTGAGCCTCCCTAGGGAGGCCCCAAATGGCCTGCAGCAGGTCCCCTCCCTTTGTCTCCAGAAGTTGTTCAGCCTGGAGTACAGGGTGAGAGGCGGGAAAGGAGGGAGCAGAGCTGTGGGCCGCGGGGCAAGTGCCTGGCGCTGGGCCTGGTGACCACACTCCACCTCCCTCCCAGCTCAGCTCCTCCCGCACCCACACGCCTGTCGCCACCCCTGCACTCCGTCACTCGGCCAGTTCTTACCGAGTGCCTGGGACGTACCAGGTGCTGGGATACAGCAGAGAAGAAAAGGAAGTCCCCGTTATCATTTGAAGGTTCACTCAGTGTCACTTACCAGCTGTGTGACCTTAACCAAGGACCTTGACCTTTCTGAGACCGTCTCTGCATCTGCCCAACAGAAGCGGTACTATCCATCTTTTGGCTGAGGTGGGGATTCAGGGACACTCGATTGTTGCAAGTATCTGCAGCCAGCACAGGATCTGGCCTGGAGGAGGGGCCCAGGGAGTGGTAGCTACATGTTGGGGCACCCCTAAACCCTTCACCCAGCTCTGGGATAACTTCGGTGGCCTGAGGCCCTAACTTGGGGGCCAGGGAGGCCCAGGAAGCACTGGAGGTGACATCAGTCTGAGTGATCCAAAGCCTGGTGTGCCGTTCAGAGAGGGAAAAGCCAGGGCCTTGCTCTGTGTGGCCGTGAGTGCCCCAGGGAAGACAGCTCTGTGTCCTCCGTAAGTGCTCTGCTTACAGTAGATTCTTGGTACATGTAGGAGGAAGGAGGGAAAATAGGTGTAAATTACAGCAGGAGAGACTGCAGTCAGACACAGGAAGAACTCTGGGACTCAGCGTGGGACCTGAGAAAGTTCTTTCCACTCTTGGTACCTTTGTGCTACTGACCCCTTCCAAGGCAGCAGCTTCCATTTCTTGTGTCCCCACTGGGTGCTTGGCACCATGTACAGTATGTTGTGTCCATGGAGCCATGTAATCCTGGAAACAGCCCCTAGGTTTGGAATTGTCCCCTTTCAGATGCACAAAAACAAAAGCCTGAAAGCTGAAGTCCCTTAAGGCGTGGTGGGGCTGGGATTTACAACTGCCGGAGCAAGCCCACGCTCTGTTCACGCCCACGAGCTCCGATGCAGAAAGGCTCAGCGTAGTGTCACTGCCGGGCATTTGGGCGTGGTGGGGCCGCACGTGGAGCGTGGGAGGCCGCGCTCTGTGCCCAGCGACCCAGCCACGCCCTCCCCCCAGGACGAGTACGAGGAACTGGACGCCATCCACCAGGAGGAGAAGGTGCAGCTGAACGAGCTGCAGCAGAGGCACGACGTGCTGCTGGAGGAGTTCGCGCAGATCCGGGAGGAGCAGGAGATCCTGTCCAAGAGGCGGCTGGAGGCGGAGCAGGAGATGGTGCGGATGGTGCGCGCGGCCACGCTCATCCAGGCCTTGTGGAAGGGCTACCTGGTGCGCTCCCTGCTCAGATCCAAGAGGAAGAAGCGGGGCAAGGGCAAGGCGAAGGACAAGGCGAAGGAGAAGGAAAAGGGCAAGGAGAAGGGCAAGGCGAAGGGCAAGGGCAAGAAATGAGCCTCCACCCGGAGCGCCCCTGACCCGGCACTGTCGCACCCTCGCCCTCCCAGAGATCAGGCCAGGGAGCCACCGGGATGGGCAGCCCTGCAGTTCAAGGTTTTAATGATCTTTTAAAATTCAAAAACATTTTAAATCACATTCATAGTAACAGGCCACAAATAAACGTCACTTCCTCAAGGCTGTTGGCCGTGTGTCAGCGCCGGGAGATGCCCAGCTCCTCACTTCAGCCTCGGCTGCAGCCCCAATCAGCACGGCATGATGGGGACAGCGCCCACCTGGGGGCAAGGCGTGGGTCACAGCAGGCACAGGGGCAGGTGAGCACTGCAGGAGGAGCAGGGCCTCAGGTTTGGGGCTGCCCACTGCTCTGCTCTGGGATTACCACCCTGTCCGCAACCCTTCGGCCTCCAGCACTGGAAAGCTCAGGCGTCATCCCCCATCCTCCAAGCCACCTGCAGGGAGCCCAGCTGGAAGCCGTATACATATGTTAACATACAACTTAAAAAGAAAACAAAAAATCTAGGGTCCATATTCTGAGCTCAGGAAGACCCAGCCAACCCTTCAGTTGGGGCACTGGCTGGAAACCATGGGAGGAGCCCAGCATTGCTCCAGGCCTGTGTTCCCAAACTCCAGTCACCCACTTGCTACTGCCACCATCCCTGCCACACCCTTGCACTACCTGTTGTATTATTTGTTACCACCATCAACTCGGGCCTAATAACGGCCTCTACCATAAGGAAAAAGGAATTGTGAACACTCATGGCTTTGATGAGCTACTGATATATTTAATACATGAAAATAAATACATGATGATTAAAATGAGAAACTGTTCACCCATGTATCTCCCAGATGCCCCTGTGTTCCCCCACGGGCCACACAGAGCCTGGGAGAACTCCTCCGAGGCCTCCAGACTCAGCCGGAAGCTAATCCTGAGCAGGAAGCTTGGCTCGAAGGGAGAGGAAGGGACCCTCCAGGTTGTCATCTCACTCTTCTCACGCTGGGTAGCGAGACATGAGGCGAGCTGGAGGGCCCCTGGGTTGGCACTAATTTGGAAGGTGGCTGAGACAGGGCTGCAGAGAGGCATCTGAAGGGGTGGCCCCCAAAACCACACTGGGGGAAAAGGCGGGGAGCAACTAGAGATTGTCAGGATAAAGAGAGGCACTGCCCGTCCCCGCTGCATCTGCCCTCGTGGGGGCTTCTCCGATGCCTGGGGTTACCCAGGGGACACTGAAGACCCTGGCCAGGGGCAACCCTGATGAAAAAACCTCATTTCCAAGGTGGCTTTGGCTTCTGGGTAGCCCCACCTCGCCGGGGGGTAGCTGGGACTGACATGCTGACTGAGCCAGCCCTGGGCGTTACCAGGGGGCTCCGCAAGGTCACCCCTGATGTGGAAGGCCCGGGACCCTGAGGCCCATTTGTGTGGGGGGCACTGGTGGCTGGGTGGCCAGTGCCGGGGACATTCAGGTGGGAGAGGGAATGGGAACGTCCCCGCCTCAGAGGCCGTGGCGAGTCTAAGGCGTCCACGGACAGCTTCCTGGGGTCTGCTGCCACCCTGGGCTCTGCCTTCAAGGGACCAGGCGGGTGAACGGCTCGCAGCGGGGTCTCCCTGGCGCGGGGCGAGTGGCCATCCCTGGGGGTGGCCGGCGGCGTCCAGAAGAGGGCACGGAGTTTCGCAGCATCCCCCTTGGCCATCCACGGGGACTCCCGGCTGGCACCCTCAGGTCGGGAGCCAAACAGCGACTCGTCACAGTAAGACGGAGTGTGGCTGATCAGTCTGGCAGAGGGAGCAGAGACACAGTGAGCTGGGGCACAAGCAACCCCACCCCACCAGACACCTGCAGCAGCAGAGAAGGGTTGCTTACAGATCCCAGGGGTCCTTGTCCCCTACACTGGCACCCAGAGTGAGGCCAGAGCCCTCCCGTGCATCACTGCCCCACGTCTTGCTTTCCCCCCACATTCTGACCCAGCTACCTGGCATGTGTCCTAGGTCTGGCCATTTGCATATTCCATCCCCCTGATTGCACTGATTGGTCCAGGAATGGCCAGATGACCCAATTCTGTCCAATCAGAGTCTGCCTTAGGACCTTGGCCAAAATTACTAGGAAAGAGATGTTTTCCTACCACCTGGCCTTGCTCCCTGCTAAACTGACAGGATGTCAGTCCAAAGCAGCTTGAGGCCACCTCACTCCTACTGGAGACTGAAGGGCATGCAGGGAAAGCAGCACTAAGATGGAGACGATCCCAACTACAGTTTGAGCCCATCGCATAAGCCCCAAATGCCCTTTTTCTAGGGAAGCCAGTTTCAGTAAGCTTTCTGTCACTTGCAACCAGGAGTCCCAAGTAATTAATCCAACCTTAGTCTTCACGGCATTTACCATCTTTTACCCACCACTTTTTGTCTCAAATATAGTAGGCCCCCATACCATATTTGAGATTGCCAAACACAGTGCCTGACGTACAGGGTGATCGGTTTGAGCTTGTTATAGCCGGCCTGGCTTCATCATCAGAGCAGCTTTATAAAATTCTAAATAATTACTGAGGGCTTTTCATTGGTAGGCCCAGGGCTCAGCGTGTCACATGCATTATCTTATCATTTCTTCCAGCATGCATGTAAGGTAGATGTCAAAATTAACCCCATTTTACAGATAAGGAAACTGAGGCATGGGTAGGGTAAGGCCCCACAGCAAGAATGCAGTATAGACAAGACTCGAATCCAGCCTGGCTCAAGGATCCAAACTATCAACTTCTAATCTAATCTAATCTAGCTCATATTGCACCCTAAATTTAGTTGGCCAGTTGTTATGGACTGAATTGTGTCATTCGCCCCCAATTCATATGTTGAAGTCTAACCCCAAATGAGACTATATCTGGCCTTAATTATTCACATTAATTTGAGGTAATTAAGGCTAAACAGGTTATAAGGGTGGGGCCCTAATCCAGTTAGGACAGCTGTCCTTATAATGACAGGAGGACACGCCAGGAGTGCATGCATAGAGAAAAGGCCACGTGAGGGCATGGTGAGAAGTGGCCACCTGCAAGGCAAGGAGAGAGGCCTCAATGCCACTAGGTAGGGAGGGACCACTGGTCTTGTTTTCCACGTGAAAACTGCAGCTCAGAGAGGTCAAGGTGCTTGCCCAAGGTCACAGAGCAGGTGAATAGCGGGGCAGTAACAGGAACCCAGGTGGCTCCACCAAGCCTAGGAATGCATCTCCCCGCCCTGTTACCTGTATTTGTTCTTCTTCCTTGGCGTGAGGGTCGGCGTGCTGCTCCTGGAGAGCGTGGTCTCACAGGTCCCCGGGGCCCCCGAGGTCTGCGATGCCCCTGTGCCCACTCCTCCGGTTCTGTTAGCCTTCTCCACCCAGGGTGGGTCAAAGTCAGGTGGGGGGGCGCGGGTGCCTGCGGGGCTGCCAAACAGAGTCTCGTCCACGTACGACGCCCTGGCCTGGACCCGGTAGCCGCCCCGGCAGCGGGGTTGAAGGCGGAGGGTCTGCATCCCGCTGAGGGCCAGCTCCACGGGGGTCTTCATGCTGCCCGTGGTCCTGGGTCGCAGCAGGTGTGCCCTGTCCGCCAGGCCCCGCCTCCAAGGCTCTCTGTGAAAGGGGGTCAGGTCAGGGTGGAAGCCCCGAGCCAACGCAGGAAGTGCCGGTGGAAGAAGACTGGCCCCCTTCGACCAGTCCTCCTCAAAGAGGGGCTGTCAACCTCAGGCCGCATTCAGGACATCTGTTTGACATTTTTAGTTGCCATAGTGATGGGGAAAGGGGTGCTTTTGGCAAATATTTAATGAAAAAATAAAAATGCACTTCCAGCACACGGTGTGTGCTCGACAAATATTCACAGAATGACTATGGGGTGAAGGAGAGATGTACCCGTGCCCATTTGGCACCAACCAGAAACAATCCATGGTGGGAGCAGGGGACAGGCACTCCCCTATATGCTGTGTGTGTGGTGCAGGGCTGGGGACAATGACGGCCAGACGGATCTCAAGCCTACCTCGTGCAAAGAGCGTTACAAGCATTGTCTCGTTTACCCCTCTCGACAGCACTGTAAAGCAGCTTCGATTTGGTCCATTTTACAGATCACAAAACTGAGGCTTCAAAGGGTGAAGTCACATTTGCAGGTCACACCTATAACGCAAAAACAGCGTAAGTACAACCTAGTGTGAATCCAGAGCTTGCGCACTTTACACTCTGCTCTTGGGAGATCACGGGCCTCCGCCCGCCCCCCACCCCACCGAGTGGCCCCCAGATCAGCGGCCGGGTTGGCGCCCGCGGCCCCGCGTTCGCGAGCCATCCCCTACCTGCGCATCTCCGCCCGCGGGCGTCCCGCGGCAGCCCCAGGGCCGCGTCCCCGCGCCGGCTCCGCCGGGTGCCGGCCTAGGCGCAGCGCGGGGCGTGCATCGGGGACCCCGCCAACATCGGGGACTGCGGAGTCCGGCGGCCCGGGACGCGCACCGGCCGGCCACCCAGGCGCAGCGCGAGGCCGGCCCTAGCGACGTGCGCCGCGCGCGCACCCGGCAGACAGCAGCCGGCCGGCGCGTACCACCCGCGGGGGGGAGCGAGCGCGTAGACCCCCCCCCGCCTGCCGCGCAGTGGGCTGCGCCCGCGCCGGCCCGCCTCCCGCTTCCGCGGGCCCGCATGGCGGCCGGCACGCGCGCGGCGGCCGGGCCTCGGTCGCGAGCCGCCATGGCGCAGCGGAGGAAGAAGAAGGGGCTGCGGCCACGCCGGGGCGCGGCGTCCCGGGCGCGCAGCAGCGACTCGGAGGACGGCGAGTTCGAGGTCCAGGCGGAGGACGACGCCCGGGCGCGGGAGGTAGGGCGCGGGCGGCCCGGCTCCCCGGCGAGGGGCACGAGGGCTGCCGGCCGGCCTGGGGTCCCCCCGCCGCGCCGCTCGCGCGCCCCTCATTGGCTACTCCTGCCCGGGGGGCGGGCGCTACTTCCTCCCCGACCAATGGGAAGTGCGGGTGCGCAAGCTCTGCCTTGGAGAGTTTGGGGCGCTCTCCCCGGGGCGATTGGGGGTGGCCCGGCGCGGCGGCTGGAGACGGCGACGCCAGAACTCTGCGAACGTGATAGGAAATTACGCTTGTACGTGCCGACCATGTGCTACGCTCCCTGCTAAGAGCTGCACAAGCCTCACCCCGGCGCGGTGGCTCGAACCTGTGATCCCAGCGCTCGGGAGGCCGCCGGCGCTCAGGAGTTCGAGACCAGCCTGAGCAAGAGCGAGACCCCGTCTCCGCTAAAAATAGTTAAAACTATCTGGGCGACTAAAATTAGAAACAGTTAGCCGAGCGTGGTGGCGCATGCCTGTAGTCCCAGCTACTTGGGAGGCTGAGGCAGGAGGATCGCTTGAGCCCAGGAGTTTTTAGGTTGCTGTGAGCTAGGTTGATGCCACGGCACTCTAGCCCGGGCAACAGAGCGAGACTCTGTCTCAAATAAATAAATAAATAAATAATAATAATTCTCACCCCGACCTAAGTGCTGTCGTTCCCATTTTTCCAGAGGGGGAAACTGAGGCCTAGGAGGTTAAGAAATGTGACCAAGACCTCACAGCTTGTGAGTGGAAGAGCCAGGATTCAAACCGGGGACTGTCAGGTTCCAGGGCCTGTGCCGTTTGCACTACTCAGTGTCAAATGAGTGAATGGACGGAGCGGGGACAGGTGTGAGCACCAAGGGGGCAGACCTGTGGTCCATCGGTCCCCACAGGTGCCCATCAGTCTGGCCTGGCACAGAGTAGCCTCCTACAGCTTCCTCTGGCTGTGTGTGGCTCACACGAAGGAGGTCGCTTGACCTCTCTGTGCCCAGATTCCACATCTGTGGAAGGCGCATGGTTGTGTGTCTCAGAAACTGTTGAAAAGTTTTAATGCCACACCGTACATTCCACTCATTCATAAATCTCGTGTGTCTCGGGCACTCTGTTTTCGTGTACCTAGAGCAGGGGTGGCACCCTGTTTCTGTAAAAGGCCAGATGGTAAATCTTTTAGGCTTTGTGGGGCAATGTAAGGTCAGTGTCTTTTTTGATGTTTTTTTTTTTTCCTTTTACAGTCTTTTAAAACATAAAAACTGGGCTGGGCGCGTGGCTCACGCCTGTAATCTTAGCACCCTGGGAGGCTGAGGCGGGTGGATAGTTTGAGCTCAGGAGTTCGAGACCAGCCTGAGCAAGAGCAAGAAAAAATAGAAAGAAATTAGCTGGACAACTAAAAATATATAGAAAAAATTAGCCGGGCATGGTGGCGCACGCCTGTAGTCCCAGCTACTCGGGAGGCTGAGGCAGGAGGATGGCCTCAACCCAGGAGTTTGAGGTTGCTGTGAGCTAGGCTGACACCATGGCACTCTAGCCTGGGTGACTGTCTCAAAAGAAAGAAATGAATAAAATGTAAAAACCATTTTTAGCTCATGGGCTGTCCAAGACAGGCTGTGGCTGTGACCTAGAGGGTTAGGGTCAATCATAGAGGGTCAGAGTGGAAGGAACATAGACTCTGAGGCCAGGGTTCAAATCCCGGTGCCCTGCTTGCATGTGTGACTTTGAGCAGGTCACTTTACCTGTCTGTGCCTCAGTTTCTTTCCCCTGTGAAATAGACATAGCGATACTTCATAGGGTTGCTATGAGGTTTAGGTGGGCTAATTTATCCAGAGCAGCCCCTGGCGTGGTGCCGTGTGAGTTTAGCCATTCCTGTGAAGTACTGTCCTGCACATGCTATTTCTGAGAGGAAGGGGACAGCCCTGTGGACTGAAGGCTCCCTGGAGGAGGCATCGGTTGGATTTAGCTGTGCGCTGTGCGGGGACTTCAGGGTCATGGCTGAGTGGAGGGAGGGAGGTGGAGTGGGGGTGATGGATGGGGACGAGATTGGTTGGGGGAGGGGGCGGGACAGCTTGGAAGAGTCTAGTACCTCTCGCTTAGCGGGTGTTTTGATTGGCTCTTTAAGGGTGTTGAATGACAGGCCAGGGTGATGGAGGCGGTGACGTCACCAGCTACGTGCTGGGCACCCTTCTGAGCCTCAGGCTCGCCCGCTTAGTCTTCAGGACCCCCTGTGCGGCCGTGCTCTTGCCATCCTGTCTTCCAGATGTGGAGGCTCGGGCTCAGGGAGATTGAGTCCCTCACCCGAGGTCTCACAGCTGGTGAGTGACAGAGTTGGGTTCCAGCTGAGGCGGTGTGTCTGCGGAGCCCACGCCCACCCCGGTGCCGGCCCGGCAGAGGAGGACCTGTTAGCAGAGAAGTCCTGTGATCTGGCGGGGCATCATCGGCCCTGATGGGGGAGACACGGGCACTGGGACAGCCTGCCTGGTGGGCTTTGTTTTTGCTTTTTTTTTTTTTTTTTTTGAGACAGAGTCTCACTCTGTTGCCCAGGCTAGAGTGAGTGCCGTGGCGTCAGCCTAGCTCACAGCAACCTCAAACTCCTGGGCTCAAACATCCTCTGCCTCAGCCTCCCGAGTAGCTGGGACTACAGGCATGCGCCACCATGCCCGGCTAATTTTTTCTATATATTTTTAGCTGTCCAATTAATTTTTCTGTTTTTAGTAGAGACGGGGTCTCACTCTTGTTCAGGCTGGTTTCGAACTCCTGACTTTGAGCGATCCTCCCGCCTCGGCCTCCCAGAGACCTAGGATGACAGGCGTGAGCCACCGCGCCCGGCCTAGTGGTCTTGATTGTGCCTGAAGTGACGCTGCCTCTGCTTTCCCCTTGCAGCTGGGACCCGGCAGACCCCTGCCCACCTTCCCCACCTCGGAATGCACCTCGGACGTGGAGCCAGACACCCGAGAAATGGTTCGCGCCCAGAATAAGAAGAAGAAGAAGTCTGGAGGCTTCCAGTCCATGGGTGGGTGAGCGAGCTGGGCATGCAGGGACGCTGGGGGAGCAGCGGCAGGGGTCACCACACCCTCCGCGCTCAGGGCAGGACTGATGTCCCCTCTGGGCCCAGCACGGTGGCAGGTGTCCAGCAGACAGAGGAAACAGACGGGGTCTCCAAGGCATTCAGGGCCTTCTCGTGGGGCAGCAGGCCTGACGCGAGGACAGAGCGGTCAGCGCGGGCCTTGGAAAAGGCGGTGGTGGCGCAGGGACAGGCCAAGACCATCAGGGATTTCCTGCACAGTGGGATGAGATTCCAGAGGGAGGGCAAAGGCGGGATGGGTGGGTGGCGTTGGCACACCCGGCTGGCTGAGTAATGCTGAACTCTCTTGCTCTTTACAAACTGGTAGCAGCTAGAGCAAGGATTTGGGTGTTAAGATGAGGCTGGCGTGGCTGCTCACGCCTGTAATCCTAGCAATGTGGGAGGCCGAGGCAGGAGGATCACTTGAGCTCAGGAGTTCAAGGCCAGCCTGAGCCGTGAGCAAGAGCGAGACCCCGTCTCTACTAAAAATAGAAAGAAATTAGCTGGACAACTAAAAACACATAGAAAAAATTAGCCGGGCATGGTGGCACATACCTGTAGTCCCAGCTACTTGGGAGGCTGAGGCGGGAGGATCACTTGAGCTCAGGAGTTAGAGACCAGCCTGAGCCATAAGCAAGAGTGAGACCCTGTCTCTACTAAAAATAGAAAGAAATTAGCTGGACAACTAAAAATACATAGAAAAATTTAGCCCGGGCACATGCCTGTAGTCCCAGCTACTTGGGAGGCTGAGGCAGGAGGATCACTTGAGCCTGGGAGTTTGAAGTTGCCATGAGCTAGGCTGACACTATGGCACTCTAGCCCAAGTATAGAATGAGTCTCTGTCTGAAAAAAACCCACTAAATATCAAGATGACTACTTTTATAATCTTAGAATGGAAAAGAAGACCTTTCTAAGTGTGACTGAGCACCATTTACTTTGAGTTTGTTTGAATTAGGCATGTGGATGCCAAAAAGCAATGTAAACTAATTTAATGTGAGTGCCACACTGGGAATCCATTTGCAACCTGTGGGACAAAGGGTTACTGCTCTTAATATACAAAGAGCTCTTACAAATCAATAAGAAAAAGACAAACACCAGGGTCCAGAATTAGGGGAAGAAAACTAACAGGCATTTCACAAAAGGAATGTGAACGGCCAGTTAGAAAACCAGCAACGTGCTAACCCTCCGCAGTCATCAGAGAAAACAGCTGCCAGCTTCTCCCTGTGGGTGTGTTTTGCCTTTCTGAATCCTCAAGATAAAAGATGGACCAAAAAGCAGCCGGGACTGTGGTGCTTACAGCTGCAAATACTTCACACAACCTCCGGGCCTGCAGGACTTACCGCGCCTAAGACAAACACGCAACTTCTCAGTGTC